TTGTTTGATGGATGTTTAACTTTATTTTAATGGTATATTTATGTTTATCTTTGGTATTTGCTTGCTTTGCTTATATGCTTCATCGTCTAAGCTTGTAAGAGGCATGAGAGTTTCCATTTCTTAGATGAAGGTTAGGTGTTTGAGAGAAACCTAGCTAAAAATACTTGTAGTATTCGAGAGAAACACAAGACAAGATCCTCATAAGCAATGGGCTATAGTATGTTTATAAGCTTTAAACCAGCCTAGTAATACTATATCTTAATCCCTTAGTACTTGAGAGAGACTAAGATAGGATTTCAACGACTAAAAAGGGTAGTTTTTATCAATAGTGTAGGCTTCCATAGCTGAGACTGAGAGGAGGTGTCGTGGCACTCTATTTTGTTAGGTTCCTTTGACTAGAGATAGCGGGAGCACTTTCAGCAAACCCTGTGGAGTAAGTAAAGTTTAGATAGATTAAATATGTCTGAGAGATAAGTTTAGCATCCTTAAATCAATCCCTACCATTCATTCCAGTGGAAGCTTGTCGTGTAAGGATTATCGACTTATCATTTATTTGGTGTTATTACCATTTTTCATTGCCTTGATATTTCATCATTTTCAATATTAAACATCTGCTCTTGCCATTGCATTTCCATTTTCTACACCATCATATCATTAATCCATATCCACCAACATACACTTCCCATTGCCGTGACAATGTACATATCAACACTAACTATACTTAGATAGAGAAGTTCTTAGCTTTGGTTAGACTTTTGTAATTTCAACCAATCCCTGTGGATACGATACTCACTCGTCACTTTTTTACTTGAGAGATTGTGTATACTTGCACATTATTTGCGTATAATTTTATAGTACTCACAACACACAACAACTGTCTATCTCAAAACAAATTTCGTCTCGCTTGAGACATTTTTCCACAAATTTTGAAAATTTTGAAACAACTTTTGTCTCACTTGAGACAATTTCTCTAAAAAAAATTGTCTCGCTTGAGACAGTTTCCTTAGGAATACAAATTTCAAAGTTTGTCTTACTTGAAACAAAATTGATCTCACTTGAGACTATTTCTTTCAAAACAGATTTGTCTCACTTTAGATATTTTTCCTCAAAACGCAAAATTTGAAATTTGTTTCACTTGAAACAAAATGAAAAAACCCTTTGAGATTGTTTCCCTTGAAACAAGTTTTGTCTCCCTCGAGATAGTTTCTCGTGAAACACCAAACTTTGAGATTGTTTCCCTTACAACAAGTTTTGTCTCCCTTGAGACAGTTTTTCTTGAAACACCCATCTGTGAGATCATTTCCCTTAAACTGAATTTTGTCTCTCTTGAGACAGTTTCTCTTGAAACATCATCTTTGAGTCTGTTTCCCTTGAAAAAAATCCCTAAATATGGTCTGTCATCCTCATCGTAGGAACTGTACCATCCACCGACTAGACCTCCTCATCACGTAGGAGCTGTGTCAACCTCATATAACCAGTCATCCTCAACAGGTAGAAATTGTGTTATCATTCCTAAATATGGTTTGTCGTCCTTATCGCATAGGAACCGTGTCATCTACCGACCAGAGCTTCTCATCATGTAAGAGCCGTGTCACCCGTAGATAACCAGTCGTTCTCATCGCGTAGGAATCGTGTTATCACCCTTCTTAAAGATGGATTGCCGTCCTTATCACGTAGGAACTGTGTCATCTACCGACCAGACCTCCTCATCATGTAGGAGTTGTATCACCCTTAGACGACCAGAACTCTTCATCGAGTATGAGCAGTGTCGTCCCCAACAACACATCAAATTTTAAACAAAAAAAAGATAATCGGACAAAAAATCTGGTTATCTTTTTCGTCTTTGACCTATTCTTGTTAACACAAGAATTTGCAAAAAGGGGCAGCTGTAGACACTCGTTTTTGTCCGGGTCTACAAAAATATTATTATTATTATTATTATTATTATTTATTAACCAAATTTAATTACAAAATTTGCAGGCCCAACAGCCCACCAGTATGAAACCCAATACACAACAAACTCGAAGCCCACCCATATTACAGCAACTCAATCCGACCCAACAACAAAACCTAAACCATGATGTAACCCCAAGTCATTTACGGTTTCATCTCTTCAGCATCCAACCGTCGTCGCCCCGGTAGGTGAAAAGTCGCACCGCCATCGCTGTTTCGACCCGTTCCTGATGATCCAGCCACCATTTCAATCTCTCCACCGTCATCTACAGTAAGCCAAACCGAGCAAATCAACCAAAATAGTACCCCAAATCAACCCAAATGTCATCCACATTAAACAAATCACAAAATTCATTAAAAAACAAAATAAATCCCGAAAAATCAGGATTTCATTACCAAATAAGAAATCAAAGCCCTACCATGAGAGAACTCGTCATTATAAACCATCCATTAAAAACAGGCAACCAAATACAGACAAGGGAATGAGGAAAAAAAGACAAAGAAAATACAAAAATGGGGGAGAAACCTTTCAGGAAAAAAAAACTCAAACATATTTGAACCTAGTAAAACCCAAATATATTCGGGAAAAACTTACCTTTGGTGGAGATCTGTCCACCTTGGCTTCGTCGGAGGGATACGACCAACGTCAAAGGTAATTTTTTTACCTTTTGGGTTTGGGGTATTATTTTGAGATCTATGTGCATGAGAGGATTGGGTTTATAGGGTTTGGTTATAGGGGTGTGTTTGAGAGGCTCGTCGAGCTTTTTAACCCGTGGCCACCGATCTATGGTGGCCGAGATTTTGGGTTCATTTTCCTCGGCGGGGAAACAAAGGGAGAGAGAAATGGAGAGCATGAGAAGAGCGGTTGGGAGGGGAAGGGGAAATGAATTTAGGGTTTCCAAATAACCCTTTAAGTGGGTTATATCTCTGATGTAAAACGACATCGTTCGATAGGGTCAGGGCATACGTGTTTTCGTATTCAGGGTTAATAGTAGTATAGGTCCTCGTAGTTTCGTAATCTTCCTCCATGTTTCTCACTTTTGGGGGACAATTACATTTTAGATCCCTCAAGCTTTTTTAATGTTTATAATATGGTCACTGTAATGAAATTTCATCATTCCATTTTTAGTTCCTATTTTATTTTTGTTGTAATTTAGTCCTTATTTGATTTCAAATATTTTTGTGTTTATATTTGTGCCTAGGCCATCATACTTTAGTTTCTTTATACACATGCAATATATTTTCTTGTTGGTTCATTTTAGTCACTAGTTACTGTGTAAAGGATATGCATGTTCTATTTATGTTTGGAATCCCTGTACTTTGGTTCTGTATGCATTTGGCCACTGATTTTATCTTTGTGTTGACTTTGCTTTTATTTCCAGTTTAGTCCTTGTTGTTTTGACCACATTAAGTTTTAATTCCTGTAATTGTTACATAATAGGATCTGCAATTTATATTTCATTCTGTTTTAGTCCTTGTTGCTACTATAAGTGAAATTTGATATTTTTGTTATTGGCTCTCATTTTTTTCATGTTTATATTTTGGTCTTGTATTTAGGTGCACATTGGTATTATTGCTTCCACCTTTTTTTATATATATTTCATTTTGTTTTATAAAATATGTAAATGAAAATTTTCATTGTGAGAGAAATCTACGAAGATATCTCCCAACTACAAGGGAAGGTATCTTTTCGAGGATTTTTCTCACAAATGTTTTTATTCAATAGTTTTCTTCGCTTTACATTTATTTATTTATTTTTATTATTTTTACCTATTTTTATTTTTTATTTTGTTTTATTTTATTTTTTGAAAATTGCAAACTAATTTCTTTTGTGAGGGGAATCTATGGGAAAGTCTCCTAACATAAAAGAAGTGCATTCCAGAAGATTGTTCACACAAAAGGGCATTCATTATCGGAAAATTTACACTTTTTTGAATAAAGTCAAATGAATAAAATGGTCGTAATTTAAATATATTTTCGAGTTTGTAATTTCTAATATTTAAACAACATATAATCGTTTGGTATCAAAATTTAGGCGTTGTGTGGGTGCTCACCCTTCCCCACACGTAATCAACTCTAGAACTCTTAAAAATGAATCTTTAGTAAAACAAAGATCATTTTTTGTCGTTTAAGATTTCCAACCTACCTAACTTAAAGGTTGGTGGCGACTCCAAAATCAAATTGTGTTTTCAAAATATATTTCATCGACTCCCCTGAATTAAATTTTTTAAGTCTAATAGATCCCTCGGGGAGACGTTATGACAGACTATGGTTCCAGATTGTTTTTGTTTTCAGTGTTGGTCATAGGATTTGAATGCACAGGGAGCAATCATGGGGCCATTGATCACCACTGTTGTGATTGCTTTGAAGGATCTCTATGCTGAATTTGTTCTGGAAGAAGCAAAGAAAGAAGAGTAGACGAAAGGGTTCATCATCTCTGCTTCTTTAACTTGCATCACTACTTTATTTTATTCATTTTAGTTATTTATTTTTGTGATAATTATTATTTAGATTGGAACGAGGACATCGGTTATCCTCTCTTGAAAAACAATAGATGGCAAATCATTGTGCAATTGTACATCTTTTTTTCTCAAAAGGGAGTTGAAATAGCAAGAAATCACTGATATAGAATGTATGAACATATTGCAAATATTGAAATTTGAACCCAAATATATGGTAAAAGAATTGTTCTTTTTTCATATCTTGCTTGAGAGCATTGTGTATCAACACCAGAAAGTCTGCATTGTAAAGGATGACTTTTAGTTCTTTTCGGCATAATACCAAGATTAACACCAATGTTAATTAAAATGATAATTTCAGTTTCTAATTTTTTTAACATTTTCACATTCCATGCTTTATTTTAAAACAAAACTCTTCCATAGATAAAAACTATTAGTTAACAAACAATCAACACTTTAAAATAGACTTTTTTACCCTAAAATAGAATGTTAGGAGGTCAAAATACTCTAAAATAAAAGAATAAGAATCAAAATAATTATTTGGGTATAAATTAAATGATGTGGGAAAACGAAACGTTAAATTATAATAAATATTTAGATCCAACTCAAAAATACTGATACAATTGGTCTCCAAACTTATTTTGCTGGTCTAATCCAAGTTGTCTCCGACGTGTTCACGTTTCCGTAATAGACCTGTTTTGAAGCTTCATCCCAATATGCCTGGAGAAAACAGTATAAAGGATGAACCCAGAAGTTGGATTAGCAAAATGAGAACACAGCATCAGCCATTAGTTGATAACTACCGTTTTGATCCCACAAATTTGAAGCCGCTTGGAAGTGTGTGTTACGGTCCCGATTACAAATCGAGTTCACTTGGAACTCAGCTTAAGCTTGTCGAAAGGAGATCAAAACCTCTCGACTCATCAAAAGGAGATTGAAACCTTATGACTCGTTAAATGGGGCACTATGATCTTTTAGGTTTTTTAAAATTCTTACTGAACTCCATTGATGCTAATCAGCCTTTAAATAAAGGTTACATAACTTGAATAAAAATCATAACTGGAACAATTAAAATAAAAATCTAAAATAGTAAAGACTACTAATGATAGCAAAAGTAGAAGAGCTCCCCATTGATGCAACCTCAGTCTTCTCATTAACAGTAGGATCACCGGTCCTCGGATCATGTCCTGCTAAAGCAATATCACCACTAGATCCAACTTGATTTGAAGCAATGGTATTTTTACTGATAGTACCAACTTCACTATGCAACAGAAATGATTCAGTACCACCGGCTACAGGCACGGAAGATGCGCACCTACCTTGAAGATCATAAAATATTACAGGTTCAACAGAATTAATGGAAACTGATGCGCTTTCAGAGTATGTGTTTGGAACTGCTTGGTAGTAAAGTGGTGCTTGGGGTACAGTAATTTGAGTTCCATTAGCAAGTCCATAGAAACCACCAACAGGAATTTGATTAACTGTGTGTCCATAATACTGATAACTGGGATCAGAATAGGTTAGGTTGTATTGTTCTGCATAAGTGAGAGGTATCGTCTCATTTGGAGGTGGGGGAACAGCCGAGTAATCAGTGGAATTATTTAGTTTCCCTATAGTGTTGAGGGGCACATCTCCGAGTGCCACTGTGATAGGTGGTATTACATCTTCAACTTCCATATCCACATCCATATCATCTTCCTCTCTGGCATGGATATCAATCTTAGAATTTTATCCAGAAAGAGTATCTTCATCTACCAGTTCACTTCTTCAATTTCATGTTCACAACGTTCAGTAGGTGAACCAAAACTAGGAACACCTACCACGTGGGTAGCATTGCTGGAGGAAACTTGATTATTTACATCACTACCGCCTACTATTAATGCAGCAGCACTAGTAGAAACATGAGAAGTGTCAGGTGCATAAGCAATTGTATTGATATCGTCACCATCTGCTTCAACTTCTTTGTATGAACCTTTATCTCGAGCTTTTCTCTCAACTTCTAAAATGCATTTAGACATCCAGCCCTGACCTTGCAGATAGTCTTCAGAGATGAAAATATTTTCATATTAGAATCACAAATAACAATCAAAACTAAAGAAATTATGGTCTTCTACCTTAAACAAAAGACACAGCAAAATATATTGACTACAAGTAATAGCAAATAACCTAATAACAGATGCATGAAGGCAATTAGATATTCTTTACACTTTTAGTGACTTCAGTCTCTCTAGTAAACACTCCCCTTGCCTTAAAAGATGAATAGAGAGATCAATCACTGTTTTATTATCATTAGCAAGCACATCATGTGTAGAGTTTCCAGAGTGATCTAAACTCCCACCAACCAAACAAGTATCGACAGCCCCTAATCTACTTTGAAAATCACTTTCAATGACATCAGAGATTTTATCCTTCATAGCTTCATTTTTGCATCCTCCATCATGCTCGTCTAACTCAGCCTCATTGTCATACACCTTGCTCTGAAGAATTACATTGTCACCAACCGATTGCGCACTTACAGTTGAACTCAAATCATGTGCATCCACTTGAGATGTAGATTGGTTAATCTGATTCAAAACAGTAGGCACCTCCCATGAAGTTTCACCAGTTTCGGTGTTCCAGTAGTAATACTGATTACTCTCTTCATGCATTACAATCCTCCAGCCTGAACCCACATCTCGAGTGGCCTGTACTTCAGAAGCTCCAGCAACAGAATCTTGTTCAGTAGAACCATTCATGACTGATTCATTTGTGACATAAATATCTCCTTTGTTATCAATGCCAACCAAATTCTGGATAGAGTTTGGAGTAGAATCTTTCTCTATGCTCAGCTGATTGACCAGACTTTCACCTGCATCGGCTTCTGTATTTTTCCAGGTCTCACTTACAGGACCCTTAACCTAACAAAAGTAAGCAATGAGAATGTGAATGAAAACCATATGCCTTTTCAAATTAGCTAGTTACTAATCTAACCCACAATGCTCCCACATTATTTTTGTTAAATGAGAAAATTCCAGTTAAAAATGATAGATTTACAAAATAGAAAGAATAAAGCTCGAACTGCAGCAAACACAACCAAGATAACCTGATATCCAACCCAAAGTTTCCCACTTAGGCCTACTACAAAGGATAATTTCAGAAACAATAATGAGGAGGCATGTTGCTCACGTTATCTAAGATTATAAGTGTAATCTTAGATCCTAGTATAAGATTACGGTGTTTGGTTTGCAAACATTACAGGCAAGCCATAATATAAGATTACTGACATGGTGTAACATAGGGTGTAATCTAATAACAGCGTATTACATCCATAATCTAAGATTACACTCCAAGCGTAATCTTAGATTTTGGTCCAATTTACCCTTTATTTTTATTATTTTAATCAATTTGACACTACATAAAACATATTAGAAACAAGAGACAATTTTAATATTAACAAATCAAATTTTATATATATGAAAAAACCTTAAATACATAGGTTGATTTAACTAGTTTATGTTGGGAGCTAGAATAATGAAAATGAATAATCAAACTATAGTTATTTTTTGGAGTTAAAATGATTTTGAAGTGATGACTGATGATAGGCTTTGGTTCTGGTATTGAATTTAGTTTTACATTTTTTGCATTTTTTATAATTTTAATAAATTATCTTACACTTTTTTTAAAAAATATATTTTATATTTTATAAATTTAAATATGCGAAAATATTAAAAAAACTAATTTTATTAAAAAAATTAACAATGAAAATTTAATAAAATATACTGCTAAGTAAACTTACATTCACTGAACCACTCCGGTCAAATTAACTAAGGTAATGTAAGATTCCCCATATTTCTATCACACCCGTAATCTTATATTACATGAACAAAATGCACTCGAGGGAATCCAAAATTACCTTGTCATCATGGTCAGATAAAGAATCATTCAAAGTGCCATGCCCTTGTCTTTTATCCAACTCCTCATCCAACTCATCATCACTATATTGGCCAAGCAATAGCAAAGGATTTGGTGGTTGCTGAGCTGGAGACAGACATTAATATGTTAAATCTTTAAACAAAAATCTATACTTATTTGTTTCGCTATATCTAAACCCTAAAAATAGGCTGAGAAAACATTCATTTAGGATAGTTCAGCAAGGTAACAACTTCCATAAACAAGAAAAAGTAAATAACAAGGCTGAAAAAAATCCATATGATAAATTTTATAGATGCATTAGGAGCATTCCATGAGCAGTTCATGTTGGCAACCTGTTACAAATCAGAGAAAATATGTCAGTGCAGGTTTAATTGAAATAAAGCCAAGAGACATACGAACCGAGATAACAATTTTCCAGAAGAAATCTGCAAAATTCTTGGATGCAGCGAAATAGAGCATAACAGAATTGGACTTATTCAAAATATCACATTGATCAGGCCCAATCAGTTCCGTATGAATGTTCCCAAGACCACAGCTTACACCTACAATCTGAAAACAAAAATTCTGGGGCAAACAACATATGTCTCGCATAAATTCCAATTTCCACCAAAATATTGTAGACCACTCGTGCTCTCTCTACACAGTCCTTTAGAAGAGAACTGACGGAACCCACCTGGAGAAGATTGTGAATTGAGCAACCCAGCAATATGTTTCGGTTCCCCGTCAATATATCCTTGTACTGAGGAGCCACCCAAATCTTCTAAAAGTTACAATAAATGAAACCAAAAGTTAAAACATAATCAATTTATATTCTCATTCACTTTTTAATAGCTCTAAATAACTTCTTCAACTGATATCCGGTTGCTTATGGAAAATATTAAGAGCATAATCTTTATCAACTACCAAAAACAAACGAAGAAATATATATATTGCTATTTCTAGACCCCAGGGTACTAAAGTAAATCACTCAACAATTTCAAAGGTATATATATATATATAAATAGAGACAAAATGATTACCAGGGGGTTCCACGAAGAGATCGAGCTTAACGCGGCGGCCGGCGTTGCTCATAGCAGCTAAGCGACGCTCATTTCTCTTCCCCGTGGATTTGGTTGTAAATTCCGGTTCAAAGACAATGCTTCTGTGTGCGTAAAAATTTACTAGGGTTTCTTCTTTGATTTGGAGAAATTAAAAATACATATCCAAATAGATTATTGATATTAACGACAGAAAATGAGAAAATATTCTTATTCAACTATCTCAAATGCGTAAAATTAAAAAAATATATAGTGTAACTAGATTCTAACCCTATTTGAAATATTATAATTTAAAGTGTATTTATGTATAATTAATTGTGATATATGCATATTTAAATGAATCTATTTCTAATATAAAATATCAGTAGATATGAATAATTTAAATATTATAATATATATTATGTTTTAATATTTTTCGTATAAAAATAATTCTCAATTTTTCAAAATAAATAAAAGAAACATAACTATTGAGTGATCTCGATCAATAAAAAAATGCTATTCTCTTTTAAAATTTTGAATTAAAGTAATTACATCTATAAGATTTGATATAAATAAAATTTAAACTATAAAAAAATTAAAAAAATTATAAATATATTCTATCATATAACTATTTTAAACTATTAAAAATAAAATTTAAAAGTAACCGACTGTTACATGAGGGGATAAAAAACTTGTTAAATAATACTAAAATCATTTTTAATGATAATTTAATCGGTTTAAAATCGTAATATTAGTTAAGTGATAATTTAATATAAATAGAATTCATTTTATAATTTTTTATAATTTTATTCAGCTAAATTATTTTCAAATTAATATTAATTTTATTTTAAATAATACTTGATAATATTTATCTCTTAATGTAGAAAATGGTGCACGTTAAGTCTTCTCTCGGTGCATGTTAGTCGGGTTGACAGCGATTGAAGGCGAAGCTTTTTTCTGTGATTCTTGCTTATTTTCTTATTTCTCTGAACCTTTTCTTGGGGGTTTTGTTCGTTTATGGCTGGTGAGGGTGGCGTTGATTAGAGAAAGCTCTTCGCGGCTGAGATTGATCAAGAGTTAGATTTCTTTCCTCTTCGGTGGTTGAGGGTTCTTGCGTGGTTAAGCCGCCTCGTGTTGTGTTTGAGGAAGGTATTTTGGAATGGAGGTCCTCCTTAGTTGGTCAATTCGTTGGGCAGGCTCCTAATTTTTCTTCTCTTAAGAAAACTGTTAGTCTGATGTGGGGCAAGGATTCGTCGGTGAAGGTAAGCCTAGTTGGTTCGAACTTATTCATTTTTTCATTTGTTAATTCTTCTGCTAGGGACTGGGTTTTAGATAATGGTCCGTGACATGTTCAATATAAGCCGGTTTTCCTTAGGAAATAGGAACCCAATTTGAAAGAACTACATTTTGATTTGATCTATATGCCTGTTTGAATTCAACTATATAATGTGCCTTTGGAATTATTTTCGAAGAAAGAGCTCAGTTATATCGCGAGTGCGATTGGCAGACCTCTTCATATGGATTCGATAACTGCTAGTCGTGAGCGCCTTGAGTATGCTCGTGTCTGTGTAGAGGTTTCTGCTAGAACTCAGATCCCTGATTTTATTGATGTGGTTCTGTGCGATGAGTCATTGGCTAGAATCAGGGTTTTTATGCCTTGGCTACCTAGTTCCTGTGTGGACTGTAGTCGATTTGGGCATACTGCAAAGTTTTGTCCTCAAGGTAAGAAAGTAGATCAGGTTTGGAGAGCCAAAGCACCTGTGCCATCAGCTAAGATGGTTGGTTCTGATAATACTGGAGAGGTTTCAAAGGCTTTAAGTGTTGAGAAGTCTACTGTTGTGACTGGTTCCGATATGAAACATAATGTTTCTACTAATCAGAAAGTGGAAAGCCAGTATGTTATTGCTAGCAGACTCGGTTGCCCACACAGTGACTAGTGTGGTTAGTTCTGGGACCACTGGTATTATTTTGAAGCCAGCTGGGCCTACTGATAGTGTTGATAACCAGGCTATTGTTGCTGGTAACAGCTTGGTTGCTCATTTTATTAGTTCTGGGAACTCTGGTATTGTCTCAAAGTCAGCTGGACCTACTGATAGTGTTGATAACCTGACTATTATTACTGACAACAATTTGTCTAATGTAATTAGCACAAATTCGGTTACTGTATCGGTGGCTAATGAAGTTCACTCCAGGAGTTCGGATATGACTATTGTTGGGAGTGATGTATTATTTGGTCTGGGTTCTAAGATGTCTGAAGCTGAGCAGGTTCGTAATCCTCCTGTGAAGAGGGGCAGAGGCAGGCCAGCTAAGGATGGCAAGTCTGCGGGGGGTGGTTCTAAGAATAAATTTGATATTCTTAATTCCATCGATTCTGAAAGTTTGGTGAATGTGCCTTCTGGTAACTCTAGTAAGAAGCATAAGGGTACTACTTTGGGTGTGTCAGCAATTATCCAAGAGTTGAAGTCGAAGAAGAAAGAACATACTGACAAGGTTAAACATATTGAGGATAGAGGTGGTGCTTCTTCCTCTGCTACTTTGTCATGTTAGTTTGCTTTTGGAATATTAGGGGTTTTAACAGTCCCCTGAAGCAAAGTACAATGTTGAAATGGGTTGTTAAGTGCCAAATTAACATTTTATGTCTTCTTGAAACTAGATTTAAAGAGAGTAATTCTAGGGGTATTCTGTCAAAAAAGTTTGTTGATTGGGAATTCTGCTGGAATTATAGTCATGCTGAAAACGGCCGAATTTGGGTGCTTTGGCAAAATCACTTGAGTTGCTTCATTAGTTTTATCTTTCACCAAAGTATCACCATCAAGAGTACTTTTGGTGATAAGTGTTTCTTTTTATATGAGGTGTATGGCTCAAACGACGGTTTTGCTCGTAGACAGCTCAGGAGTCAGCTTAGTACTACGGCTAGTGTTGTGGGAAGTGATGCTTGGTTAATCGGCGGTGACTTTAATGTCATTTTAAACATGAAGAAAATCTCGAATACAGTAAATTCTGCCACTGCTTCTGATATTTCTGATTTCCAGAGATGTGTTTAGGAGTTGGGAGTCTTTGACCACCAGTTTACTGGTCCTTTATTCACCTGGTCAAACAAGAAACGGGATATTTACTTGGCTCGTAAATTAGACCGTGTGCTTATTAATCCTAGATGGATCATGGCTTTTCCTTCTTCAGTGGTGGAATTTCACGCCCCTGGTGATTCGGATCACTGCCCAGCTTTAGTCTGGCTTTACAAGGATTCTCCCAAGGATAAGCCAAAGCCTTTCAAGTTTTTTAACTTCTAGGCAATGTACCCTGACTTTATGTCTATTGTTAAAAATTCATGGCAGTTCCCGGTTACTAGCAATCCTGCTCATGCGTTATTCTTGAAGTTGAAAAGATTAAAACGTTGTCTTAAGGAACTCAACATGTCCCACTTTCGTGATATTTCTGGGCAGGTTCAAAAGAAGAGAGATGAGCTCAAAAATATCCAACTTTCAAACTTATGCGCTACTCCTGCTGGAAGTTTTATTAAAGATGAATTGGAGGCAGAAAGGGAGCTTCAGTCCCTTGAGCAGGAGGAGCTACTATTCTATAAGCAAAAGACTAAAGTTGATTGGATTAGGGACGGCGACTAGGGCACCCACTTCTTTCACTCTATGGTGGCTAGTAGGAAAATGTGCAATAACATTCCTGCTCTGTATGACCAGGATGGGGTCAAACTGGATTCATTTGAAGGTATTTCAAATGAGATAATTCGATTCTTTAAGAAACAACTAGGGGTTGTTGATCCTGATGTCCAATGTTGCAATATCAACGTCATTAAGGACCTCCTAGATTATTCCTTGTCGAGGGGTGCAGCTGATGATTTAATCAAAGATGTGTCCGATGCTGAGATTAAAGATGCCATATGGGGACAAGGGAACAACAAGTCCCCTGGTCCAGATGGCTTTAATTCTTACTTCTTCAAGGTTGTTTGGCCTATAGCTGGGAATGATTTCTTGGCAGCTATCAAGTACTTCTTTGAAAACTCCTTTATGCTCCCGTCTTTCAATGCTACTGATGTGGTCTTGGTCCCTAAAGTCCCCAATCCGAATGTGGTCAAAGATTACAGGTCCATCTCTTACTGTTCGGTTATATATAAAACTGCTACTAGAATTTTGGTGAATCGATTATCTGTAGTTTTCCCTAGCATGATCACAATGAATCAATCTGCTTTCGTGAAGGGGAGAAGCATTATAGATAATACTCTACTAGCTCAAGAGCTTGTTAGAGGTTATTCTAGAAATAATATCTCGCCTAGATGTGCTCTTAAGACCGATTTGTAGAAGGCTTTTGATTCTTTAGAGTGGGAGTTTGTGGGGATTATCTTGCATGCTATGGGCTTACCTGAGAAATTTATTGGTTGAATTTGGAATTTTATTACGAATCGTAGATACTCTATTGTTCTTAATGGCAGCCTAGTTGGATACTTTAAGGGTGCTCGGCGTGTTAGGCAGGGGGACCCCCTTTCACCATACATCTTTGTGCTGGAAATGAATGTTTTATCCAAACTTCTGAATTTGGCCGCTACAAAGGGTGTCTTTAACTACCACCCTAAGTGCAAAAAAATTGGGCTAACCCACCTTTGCTTCACGGACGATTTACTCATCTTTTGCAAAGGGTCAATGGATTCTATTATTGGGGTGCAAGCTGTCTTGGACGTTTTTACACTACGTCGGGCCTGAGGCTTAATGCTAATAAGTGCAAACTATTTCCTGCTGGAACTTCTGCCCAACAGTATGCTGCCATCAGGAATATCACTGGCTTTAACTTGGGTAGTCTCCCGGTGAGATACTTGGGTGTTTCACTAGTGTCAATAAAGTTAACTGTGAAGGACTATCGAAGTCTCATTGATAAAATCAAAGCTAAATTGAATCTTTGGGCCAACAAACACCTCAGCTTTGCTAGAAGATTACAATTGATCCGTGTTGTTTTATTCAGCATGGCTAATTTCTGGTGTAGGCAGCAAATTCTTCCAAAAGAGATTATTAGAACTGTCGAACAGCTATGTTCCAGGTTCTTTTGGAAGGGGTCTGACTTGCTTGCGAGAGGCGCTCGTGTTAGTTGGAGGAAAGTTTGCTTATTGAAGTCCGAAGGGGGCTTGGGTGTGCAAGATATTGGCGGTTGGAACAA